TGGTTTGAGGGTTTAAACGATGTAGTGTCAAACAATCAAAATTTGCAGACAATTATTGTTTCTGGTGGTGAACCACAACTACTTAGAACTGGCCATTTGTCATTCAGAATTTGGGAGTTACCACATTTAAGGCATCTCGAACTTGGAAATTACTATGAGGTGGATCCTCCAAACAGGAATATAGAGCAATTGCAAACATTATCATGGGTTAATCCAACTCATTTCACAGAAGAGGTGGATTATATTAGGTGTTTGTCGAAGCTTGAGACACTTACGGTTATAGTCCCAGCAAACAGTATGACCCAGCTAGAGCGGCCCATGTTTTCTACACGACTGAAGAAGTTGAGGTTGAGCGGGACTAACCTCCCGATAATGAAGTTTCCATGGGTATTGAGAGCTTTAAAGGTGCTCAAACTAGAAAACATCTTCTCCAGCCAAGTGCGGGGATAATTTGGACAATTTTCTGACTTACAAGTCTTGCTCATTGAGGCTACAAATCTCCACAAATGGGAGGTCAGGAGTTCCGATTTCCCAAAACTGAAGCATCTAATCCTAAGACGTTGTTATTGTTTGGAAGAGATCCCATTTGAAGTTGATCCTATTGACACCCTAAAGACAATTAAGGTGGAGCAGTGTCTCCCTTGTGTTGTCGCTTCTGCCATGAAGATTCAGGAGGAGCGAAAGTTGTTTTGGAAAAAGGCAAACAACCCTGTGGAGGCGTGCAATATAAGTCGTGCTCGCCTACTTCGAGTTCATGCGGCCCATACGCCACTTACTGTTTTTGTCGACGACGTGATTCATGATGTTTTAGCTAGCCAGCTAGGTATGTGTTTCTTTTCTCTTCTATTATATTGTTTGTTTTATTTGCCAAATCTGTTTAAAATATCTTCAATTCTCATCTGGTTTCATACATTGTGCATTGTTTTTTCAGTGATGGGGTGAATTCCTACAATGAATCACAGGATACATGTTACTGCCAATTGCCATGCAATTAAGAGTTGTAATGTTATGTGTCCGTAATTACCTTGTCATGTACTTTCAATTTTTTAATTGCAAATAGGTGTCTAATATTATTTTTGAACTAAGGTCTACAATGCAAAGTAGACCCTGATTCATGGTACACTTTGCAATTTGGGTTTGACCCGACCAATTCAATAAGCTTTATTCATATACTAGTTTTTTACGCGCATTGCGATTGAGATAATGCCCAATGTTTTTCTTAAATAAGTATTTTAAAGTATATCAAGACAAGATTATATTGGAATTGTTCATGCATAGATAATTGAATGTTGAATTTGCGTATGAGTTAATCAACGATTTGGTCCCTCAATTATTAACGAACTATCAATGTAGTCCCTCAATCGCTTATTCATCGATTTGGTCCCTGAAAACAATTATTTTTAATCGATTTAGTCCCTCCGGCCGTCTTTTGTCAACAATCCGGAGGGACTAAATCAATGGCTGGAGGGACTAAATCGACTAAAAATAATTGTTTCAGGAGACCAAATCAATGAATAAGCAATTGAGGGACTACATTGACAGTTCGCTAATAATTGACGGACCAAATCGTTGATTAACTCATTTGCGTATTTACATTGGTAATTCTAAGTTTACAAATGCAAGATAATATAGTCAAGATTGATTATAATTGTCAATAAAATAATTGTATGGGTATGGTTGAAACCAAATACGGGACATAAGGGAGAGTAAATAAAAATTAAAGCATAAAATATTAAATATATACTAATATTGTTTGAGGAGATTACGACGTTAGGATTTGTGGTTAGAGTTCTATTAAGACTTTAATATTAGAATTAGATTAATGTTGTACGGTAGTTATAATTCTATATTAGACTTTAATATTAGAATTAGACAATGGTGAATTAGCAGTACTTAATGAAAAAGTTAACGGATTGGATAATCATATAATTAAGGATAAATTAAGAATAATTAGGGATAAATTAAGAAATCTCAAAGAAAAATTTAAATCTGAACAATCTGAACTATTCATTTGATTTAATAATTTGACGGTCATTTTTTCTACCCAATATTTATAATTAAATAAATATTTGAAAGTATATCAATTTAAGATTATAAATGAGAAGTTCAACACAAGTAATTTAATGTTTAATTTGTTTATTTAAATATGTAATTCATAGTATATGAATACAATGTAATATAGGAGATTCATGATAATTGTTACTAAACTTTTTTTAAATAGTAACCAAGTATTTTTGTTGCAAAGATTTCTAATACATTTAATGAATGCACATATATACAAGATCAATGAATGAATCAACGGTACCAGTCATTTAGGTGTTTTGCTCAGTGTTCATTTAGTTTAACCATTATTGTTGAATAAATTATTATGGATAAAGAAATTTCTAATTTAAGGAATTTAGATGTAGTAAAAATTTAAAATTTAACACAAAGATATTGGACGATTGGTAAATATGATGTAACCCAAAGATCAAAATGCTAAAGAAAGTGTTTTGGTTATTCAACAGTTTAAAGCAACAATTTGTTCCAAACCACTGAAAATACAAACATTGTAATTTACAATATTTTCACTTAGCGTTTTTGATAATGATTTCCCCACAACACGTCTATATTTTTTGTTAAAAAATTATTATTATTATTATTATTATTATTATTATTATTATTATTATTATTATTATTATTATTATTATTATTATTATTATTATTATACCCTTAGGTCATTTTAAATGTTAATTTAAACAGCTAATTTTTTAAAATATCTTTTTACCAACCGTTCATATAATTCGCTGGTCAAATCCGCTAATATAATGCGCTAACTGCTGATTGTCAAACAAGGACATTGCGAGATAGTTTCTCATTTCAATTTGTTGTGTGATTTGAATACACTCTTTACCAACAAATCCCTCAAGTAGTTAATATGATTGACTTTATTAATTTAAATTTTTAAAATTTTGTCATGGTATTAATAAAATACTTGGTAAATAAATATATAGCATTTTTTTTGTATTGTAACTTTGATATTTAATTAAAAAATAGTGCACAAAAAAGATAATAGACAATGTAGTAAATATAATCAATTGATGAATTTGAATGTAAAGAATTTTTACATTGAAGAAAAATAAAGACAATATAACTTATGAAATTATTTCTCTTAATTAATTTATTGATAATGAATAATTTTTTTTAATAAAGACATTGTAGGAACAATGTAGCGAATATAATCAATTAATGAATTTGAACTTTGAATGTAAAGAATTTTAAAAAAAAAAAAACGAATAGACGCATATTGTTCAATTATAAAACTGAACATTTTTAATAATAAAAAAAAATGAATTTAATGGTGACCATTTTAATTATAAAACTGTCACTGCGTTATTTTAGGTGTCTAATTTTGTCACAATAGACGCATATTGTTCAATTTTTATAGTCATATTTGAAATAGTGAGTATTTATCCCCACTAAATAAACAAAGAAATCAATCTTTGTGATAATTTGTTTTTTCACAAAATTTTTATTTCATTTCTCTTCAAATATTTTATGTGAACCAAATGTACCGCAACAGTTGAAGAATTGAGCAATGATGAACATATAATTTTGCTCACTTAACAATTAAAATACTTGGTGAGCTTCCATTTTATACTCCTAATTTTTACTTTCACAAATTTTTGATGTAGACACTTTTCTATAGACTGACGTGATGAAAATAACAAATCTTTGTTTATCACATCAAGAAGTAGAAGTAAAAGAGTAACATTTGAAAATATGTATAGTAGAACTCACTCAGATCAATAATTTCGCCTGTAATAAGTTGACTTTTAAGATATCATTCCTGATTCTGCTCACTTAATAATTTGGCCAGTAAGTTGACTTTTAATTTAGTATAGGCATCCAAGTTGCTTAACAGTTTTATTGAGTTGTATGATTGCATTTAAAAAAAAAAATGTAAAATTCAAGCATATGTGGGCTTGTGGCGATGAGATGCCTTCTAGCTCTATACTAATGGCCCTTCAATCATACAACCTTAATTACTCAGAAACATACAGAGAGGGTGAGAGAAAAACATACAAAGAGAAATGGTAAATAGTTAATTCAAGACATGCAAAAAATATTTTTCTTAAAATTGATCTGCTTTCTTTTGGAATTGTTAGAAAGGTTAAAGCGTTGGTTTATATTAAAAAAATATATATATCAAACACCTTGTACTTAGATGACACCTCTGTGGATCCTTTTGAGGAAATAAGGGAAGGTCACAGGATTGAACCCCGATGGACGGTGGTGAGGTCTTGACTCTTTAAACTGTGCAATAGATAGATAAAGTATAGTGGTGGAGTCTTGACTCTTTAGGCTGCAATAGATAGAGAAAGTATAGAATAGATACTATCTTATAATAGAGTCAATAGTATTAAAAAAAATTAAAAAATGTAATAAAATATCAAAGAAAATAAATAAATACTCCCTCTGGCCAATTTTACTGTCTCACTTTCATTTTTAGTTTGTCCCAAAATATTGTCCTCTTTCCAAAATTGAACATAACCATCATTATACTTTTTTCAATTTACCCTTATGAATTTTGCGTTCTTTATTGCTTTTATTAGTGAAAAAAGTGGGGGCATAATTGAAAAACACATAACATTTACTTTAATTTCTTAAAAAGCCTGCAAAAAGTAAATGAGGCAACCAATTCAGAACGGAAGTAATATATTAATTACTTTTTTTAATGCATATTAATTACTTAATTAGTCTCCTCTTTATATTATTAAAATAATTGATGGAATAATGCACAAGCATGTGTAAGAGTGAGATAATTTTAGAAAATCCTGAATAAATTTATAATTTAGTAGTTTTATAAATCAATTATGTGCATATGGAACCAACCTGATGCAGATGCGTGCCAGCTCCATGTGGGAGTTGATAGAATTCAACCTTTGACTGCTTCATCTTAACGCCCTTCAATCATATTTTAATCTAGTTTTACTCCTCTTCTCCCAAATAATATTGTACTCCGTCTGAAGCAAATACAGAGAGAGAGAGAAATGGCTTGTGTTCCTCTAACTTCTCTGATGAATACAATCCACTTTGAGTTCTTACAACCCTGCAGAGCACCTGTGATTCTTGATGAAGATACAGCACATATGGTTAGTTCTCTCCACCATAATCTTGGTTTCTTGCTCACCTTTCTCAAGGACTTAGTGAAGAAACCAGGGATAGATGAAGCTGCAATCAACGATTTGGAAGCCAAAATCAGAGACTTCGCCTTTTTAGCAGAAGATGAAGTTGAATCAAATCTGGCAACGATATATATGGAGGCGGCAGATAAGGAGATGGCACTCTTTCAGAACCTGCAACAAGTAGGTGAAGATGCAGAGATGACACTCTTTCAGAACCTGCGACAAGTATCTGAAAAAACTCAAAACTTCGTCAACACAGTTAAAAGCCAATACTATGATTCTGCCGTCAAAAATTTGCCAAAGGTATCACGACAGTCTTTTCTTACCGTATTATATTACATTTCATAATTTACAACTCTTCCTCAATAGGTACATGCCCTTCCGTTAGATATTGGTTCAGACCACAAGAGCGGATCTTCACAGCAGTTCTCAAAGATTGAGGACAGAATGGTTGGGCGTACAACTGAATTAAATACAATAATGAATCAGCTCATTGGTCGCCCATGGAAAGTCGTTTCCATTCTCGGGATGGGCGGGATCGGTAAAACTACTTTAGCCAAAAGAGTTTACGAAGATCCACAAGTCATATCCCACTTTGACCTTCGTGCATGGGCTACTGTCTCTCAAGAAGTTAACCTGAGACAAATTCTCTGCGACCTTCTTTGGTCCATTGAGAGAGGAACGAATACTGACGGAAGCACAGATGATCTAGCACACAAACTACGACAGCATTTGATGGGTCGTCAAAGGTATCTGATTGTGGTGGATGACGTATGGGAAACCGGTGTTTGGGATTATCTCACAAGATGTTTTCCTAAAAGTCTTGGAAGTGCAGTATTGGTGACCTCTCGGCTAAAAGAGATTGCAGACTACACTAAATCAGGTGCAAGCAATCTTATTCACAACTTGCATTATCTCGATTCTAATGAAAGTTGGGATCTATTTTGCAGTCACATTATCTTGAAACAGCCCTTGCACTCTAAGTTCAACACAATTGGAAGGAATATTGTTGGCAAGTGTGGGGGGCTTCCCCTGGCAATTGTTGTAGCTGCTGGACTTGTATCCCAACTCAGCAAAGTTGAAGAATTGGAAAATATTGTGGAAGAAATGAGCTATCGTTTTAGTACAGATATTGGTGAACAATGTTCAAGAATTCTTATTGTAAGTTACAATCATTTACCTCAGCATTTGAAAGCTTGCTTTTTATATTTAGGAGTTTTCTCAGCAGGTAGTGAAATTCCTGTTAAAAAGCTTATTAGGTTATGGATTGCCGAGGGGTTTGTGAAGAAGTTAGTGAGGGATAAGGAATTAGAAGAAGTGGGTGTTGGGTATTTACATGATCTTATTAGTAGAAGTCTAGTCCGAATTGATAAGCTTAAATGTGATGGCAAAATCAAGACATGTAGGATGCATGATCTCTTGCGTGGACTTTGTGTACGACAAGCCACAAATGAAAAACTTTTGTATGTTGAAGACAATAATAGTTTTGATATGTGTAACGACAGTAGTCGTTGTTACAAAAAACCCCATGGTGCTTCTTGTTGGCTATGTTTTAAATGGTCAAAGCCACCTGAGCCTTTTGATATGTGCAGCAGTTCCAAAAAAGCATGTGATACTTGTCGTTGGCTAAGTTTTAGATCATCAAATTTAAAGTCTGATGAGCATTTTGATTTTTGCAACAGTAAAGCCCGTTCCATTTTGTGTTTGCATAAAGATGAAATAATGCCAATGGTCATAATGCCAATGGTCAATGATCCAAAGCCTCTAAACTTCAACTTGTTAATAGTTCTAGATTTGACTTCTCCTTTGTACAACAAGGCAGTCAATCTGTCCGACCTAGATCATCTATCCACTATAGTTCTTCTAAGATACCTAGCTTTTGAGATGGATAGGTCTCTTGGCTCCGAGGGTCTCAAGAATATACTGTCTAAAAATAAAAAATTGCAAACACTTATGGTTTCACATAGTGCCCCTCATCACTGGCAAGTGCATTATTCTCATTTGCCATCCACAATTTGGGGATCACCACAGTTAAGGCATCTTGAGTTTAGAAGAAACATCTTTAAAGTGGAGCCTCCAAGCATAGTGAAAGAGGACTTGCAAGTTTGGTATTGGTTGAGCATATTTCATTGCACTAGAGAAGTTATTTCTAGGATTCCCAACGTAAAAACGTTAGGGATTTTTTGTGAAGATAGAGTGATTCTTGATGATGGTGTGTCTTTCAATGGTGCTATCAGCTTGAAAAATCTGTTATTTGAATGAGCTTGAGGTTTTAACTATTGAAGCTGAGTTTCCCATTCCTAAGCGCATGTCCCTTCCAAGTATAGATGCACTTCCCGATAATCTTAGGAAGCTGAAACTATGCAAGACTTATCTGCCATGGAAGGACAATATAGCAACAATTGCCTTGTTACCTAGACTAGAGGTTCTCAAACTAAAAACAGATGCTTTCTATGGGCCGGAGTGGGAACCAACTGAAGGGGGATTTCATCGATTAAAGTTTTTAGAACTTGAAAACTCACAACTCGAGATTTGGAATGCCTTTGATGATGAGTTCCCTATGCTTGAGCGCCTAGTCCTCAAGTATTGTGACAGATTGAAAGAGATCCCAAGTTCTTTCTCAACCATTAGTTCTCTCCAATCAATTGACTTTGAAAGGTGTAAGCCGGCCCTTTTGACTTGTGCCAAGAATATCCAAGAAGAACGGCTCACTTATGGATATGATGGTTTTGCTATTGTTGACCGCACTCCTCAGGTCCATCATCTCTTTTTGCACTTTTTTCACTCTAATCATTTCCTCACTTTTTTTTTTCATTTTTTTATATTGATTTTGTATTATGTGTGTTGATGAATGCAGTACACTTATGAGCAAAGTATGAGCAATAATTATTATTACGCACCAGTGGTTGAAGCCCAAAAGCCACCGGCATGCTGTATCTGTTGATTGAATGCAGTAAGTGCACTCATGAGCAACTTAAATATGTTTTTGGTATGCACGTTGAGAGGTTACTTAATAAGCAACAGCTTCTTGTTTCTTTGTTCCCAATATATGCTATTTGAATTTAGAGAAGACCAAGCATTTAATTTCCTTTTTTCACAATTCATGGAACTGCTTTCATATTTATTATACTTCGAATATTCTAACTTTTATCGTATTATTATGTGTCTGTAGCTATCGTGTTAATATGTAACTGTGTTAGGACTCTTGTGTTTGTAGTTGGCTAGGACTCTTTACTTATCTCCTTATATTGTTATTGTTCAGTCTATTATTGAGTTATGTTGAATATACAATCCTCATCTGGTATCAGTATCCAGGGATTCTTATTTTCATGGCAACCTTGGGAGATAACAATGGCGGTTCTATTCACGATTCATCTGAACGGACTGTGTCCGAGGTTGCCCCCACTCCCGTTTATGCAAATACTAGCCTATCCTCCGCCCATCACTTCGTGTCTATCAAGCTTACTGCCCACAATTATTTGTTTTGGCGTACTCAGATGCTGCCGTTCTTGGAAGGCCAAGGGTTGCTTGGTTTTGTTGATGGCACACTGCCATGCCCGATGCCTGCCGCTCCAGCGCTGCCGCCGTCCGTGCCGGTGGAGTCGACGGCGGACAGTGGCGTCCGACCGTCTGATCTAGCTTCGCTGCAATAGCAATGGCGCCGGCAGGACAAAGCTGTGCTTTCTCTGTTGATTTCGTCTTTATCCGACGAGATGCTACCCATGGCGATCGGTCGCTCCACGTCGCGGTTTCTATGGTCGGCGATCGAGCAGGAGCTTGGCTCGGCGACGCGTTCCCGGGCTTTGAGGCTTTGAGGCGAGCTGCATGGGCTGTCCCAGGGGGCGTCGTCCGTCTCCGATTACTTGAGTCGGGCGAGAGTTCTGGTTGAAGATTTGGCGATGGCCGGCCGGGTTATTACGCTTGATGATCAGAATCTCTACGTTTTCCGTGGCTTACGACCGGAGCTCCGTCCTCTTGTTGCTCCGCTGACGCGTGGTTCTCCGGTAACCTTAACTGAGCTTTCTGATTATCTAACTTCGCAGGAGTATATTTGTGCGCCGGGTGGTGGTGATGCTGCTGCCCCGACTGCTATGGCGGCGTCGCGTGGCCGAGGAGGAGGCCGCGGTGGCAGCCGGTCCTATTGTGGGAACTCGGGCAGTGGCGGTGGAGGCTCGGGCAGTGGCGGTTCAGGCGGTAGTAGCCGTGGCCGGGGTCGTGGCCATGGGCGGTCGGACGTCCGGTGTCAGATTTGCGAAAAGTTTGGGCACTCGGCACGGGCTTATTTTCAGCGATATTCTGAGACCAAGGATCCTCAGGCGCATATGATTGTTTCTGGGGGTGAGAGCGGTGGTGTTGAGTCTCATCAGTGGTTTCCTGACACGGGAGCCACGAATCATGCTACTCCCGACTCCTCTATGTTGACTTCTTCGGCTCGTTATGATGGTCCGGACACCTTACGTGTTGGTAATGGTGCAGGTATGACTATTTTTAGTGTTGGGTCTGCTTCGATAGCTTCTTCTTCTAGGTCGTTTAGTTTAAATGATGTTCTACACGTTCCTGATTTGTCATCTTCCTTGCTTTCTATTTAGCGGTTTGCTAAAGATAACCGTGTCTTTTTTGAATTTCATCCTGACTGTTTTCTTGTGAAGGATCTCTTGACCAAGAAGGTGGTTTGTAAGGGGGGTACCTCCAGTGGCTTATATTCGTGGCCTGTGTCTTCAAGTCCGTCTGCTTTTGTTGCTGCGCGTGCGTCATCCTCTACTTGGCACAAGCGGCTTGGTCATCCACACACACAGGTGTTGCGTCAGATATTGCAGACATCCGGTGTTAGTTCGTTTAATTCTAGTGATTTGTCTCGTTTATGTTCTTCGTGTCAGTTAGGGAAGTCTTCCCATTTTTCTTTACCTCGCGTTGAGACTAAAAGTACTCGAGTATTAGAACTTATATATACTGATATTTGGGGCCCAGCGCCGGTGTACTCTGTTAATGGTTTTCGCTATTTTGTTCTGTTCATGGATGATTTTACGCATTATGTGTGATTTTATCCTATGCGTGCGAAAACGGACATTTATTCTATCTTTGAACGGTTTCGGTCACTAGTTGAGCGTTCATATTCCCACAAAATAGTGTCTATTCAGTCTGATCTATGGGGAGAGTACAAAAAGCTCCACTCTACTTTTGAGTCGCTTGGTATTCGTCACAGGCAGTCCTGTGCGTATACGCATGAGCAGAATGGTCGGGTAGAACGCCGTTATCGGCATATAGTTGAAACTGGGTTGGCTTTGATGGTTCAGGCGTCTATTCCCTCTCGTTTTTGGGATTATGCATTTGAGACTACGGTTTACTTGATTAACAAGATGCCTACTCGTGTGTTGAACGATGAGTCTCCTCATTTTCGACTGCATCGTTCACCTCCCTCTTATTCTTTCTTGCGTGTTTTTGGCTGTCTGTGTTTCCCTTTGTTACGTCCCTATAATTGTAATAAATTGGAATATCGTTCGGCTCCCTGTGTTTTCTTGGGTTATCCTGACTCTTTTCGAGGCTATCGTTGTCTAAATCCTAACACTAATAAGGTCTTTATCTGTCGCCATGTGTGATTTGATGAGTCCGTGTTTCCTTTTGCTAGCTCTGTTTCTTCGCAGATGGTTTCTCGGCCCCCGGCTGCTCCTTGGGGTGTTGCTCCGGTTATTTCTTTCCGTGTCTCCTCCTACTACTGAGGTGGTGGACAGTGATTTTGAGAAACAGGCTGTGGATTCGGAACCGGTACCGGTTGACTCGGTGTCTAGTGAGCAGACAGTTTCTGATCGTGGTCGTCCTCGCCGTGGGACTAAGGTGGTTGGTCCTTGTTCTCATGTTATGGCCACACGGAGCCAGGGTCCACAGGAGCATGTGGCGTTGGTGTCTGCTGTTGATCCACCTGAGCCCACGTGTTACTCCCAGGCAATCAAGCATCCAGAGTGGCGTGAGGCCATGGATGCTGAGTTTAATGCTCTGCTTCAAAATCAGACCTGGCAACTTGTTCGCTATACCCCGGGGATGAATGTTGTGGGATGCAAGTGGGTATTCCGTGTCAAGAGGAATGCTGATGGGTCTATTGAGCGGCACAAGGCCTGGTTGGTTGCCAAGGGCTTTAATTAGATTGCGGGCAAGGATTTCTTTGAGACGTTCAGTCCGGTTGTTAAGCCCACCACGGTTCGTCTTTTGCTTTCTTTGTCCTATTCTCGTGATTGGTGTATTCGGCAGCTGGATGTGCATAACCCCTTCCTTAATGGGCGTTTGGCTGAGACGGTGTATATGCGTCAGCTTCCGGGATACGAGGACAAGTCAGTTCCTAATCATGTTTGTTTTCTGCAGCGCTCTTTGTATGGGCTTAAGCAGACCCCGCGTGCATGGTTTACCCGGTTACATAACTTTCTTCTCTCTGTTAGCTTTGTTCCATCGAAGACTGATGTGTCTTTATTCATTTATTCTAATCATGGTGTGCAGCTTTATTTTTTGGTTTATGTCGATGACATTCTTGTCATGGGCTCGGATTCACGCTGGGTTGCTGGGCTAGTGGATCAGCTTGCTCAGGAGTTTAAAATTCGAGATATGGGGCCTCCGTCTTTTTTCCTGGGGATTGAAACTGTCTCTATTTCTGATGGTGTTCTTTTGTCTCAGTGCCGTTATGTTCAGGATATTCTCAAGCGTGCAGGGATGGTTGACTGTAAGCCGGTTTCTACTCCGATCTCAGTTGCTCGCTCTGAGGACGGTGATGCTGCTCCTTTTCGCTGATCCTACGCACTATCGTGGACTAGCTGGTGCTTTGCAGTACTTAACAGTGACTCGTCCTGATTTGTCTTTTGCGGTCAACAGGCTATGTCAACGCATGCAGGCTCCTACTACTGTCGATTGGTCTATGATGAAGCGAGTGTTGCGTTATGTGAAAGGCACTCTTGGTATGGGGCTGTGTGTTCGAAAGTCTTTATCTACCTCGCTGCATGCGTTTTCTGATTCGGATTGGGCTGGTAGTCCGGATGATAGGAAGTCCACCAGTGGTTTTGCAGTGTTTTTGGGCTCTAATCTAATATCGTGGTCATGCCGGAAGCAACGCACTGTGGTGCGTTCCTCTACTGAGGCAGAATATAAGGCCTTAGCTGATGTGGCAGCTGAGGTGACATGACTCGTTTCTCTACTTCGGGAAATCGGTTTCTCTCCAGCTTCTCCGCCTAGTCTATGGTGTGACAACTTGGGTGCTACGTACCTGTGTGCCAATCCGGTTTTCCATGCTCGGACTAAGCATGTGGAAATTGATTATCACTTTGTCCGAGACAAGGTCGCCAAAAAGGAAATTCAGGTTCACTTTATTTCCACGAAGGATCAGATTGCTGATATTTTTACCAAGCCACTTGCGTCTACTCGGTTCTCCTTTCTTCGTGACAAGCTCAATATTTCGACTGCTCCACCTTGAGCTTGAGGGGGAGTGTTAGGACTCTTGTGTTTGTAGTTGGCTAGGACTCTTTACTTATCTCCTTATATTGTTATTGTTCAGACTATTATTGAGTTACGTTGAATATACAATCCTCATCAACTGCAGACACATAATTTGAAAGATATTTTAGACCAGAATCTACAATGCAAGTTAGACTTTGGTCCATAGTATAATTTGTCCAGTTTTTCCAGCTTGGACTTATTCCTTATTTTGATTTCCATTCTTTTACTTATTTTATTTTGGTTTCTTGGTCAGAACACATGACATGTTAGTTTACGTTTACAATTTTACATTTCTTTAGATTTTTTTCATTTCTTCATTCCCTATTTTTAAATTGATCGAAATAAATGTACACTTAAATGTATTATTTGTTTTTAGGAAAATTTGTGAATTTTGTCTTTTAATTATTACTCT